TGGTGTTTTACAATGCCCACTGATGCTTTGAAATCTGACTCCTATGGGGAGAAGGACATATCATTTCTAATTGTCTGTGGGAAGAGGGGATGACAAGGTTAGATGAGTTTTAAAGAGAGCATCCCCAAACCTCATTTTAGGTAATAATTTAAAATTCTTCCCAACAAACCTATTACCAAAGATGTCAAAAAAGTAAAATGGATGAGTTTTTCCTTTTTTTCTCTCTTCTTATCCAGATAGAGATGCTAATGAGCTCAAGTGAAATGGCCTTATATTAGGTAATTGAAGAAGAAAAGTTCTAAAATTAAGTAAATCACTCAACAAGCGGCTGTTAAGTACTTTATATAAGTATAGGATCATGCTAGGCCAGTTTCTGTCCTCAAGGAGTTTATAATCTAGTTTAAGAGACAAGAGAGTTCTACACACACACACACACACACACACACACACACACACACACACATTAAGACATCACAATAACACAAAACAAATGAGGAGAGGAATTTATGATTGTGTGCAGATAGCAAGTGCTAGGAGATCAGAGCACAATTATAGCCACGGAAGAGTTAGGGAAGGTTTCATGGTGAAAGTCAGATTGGACCTAGGTGTTAGTGTTTACAAAAGAAAAGAAGAGGGAAAGAGCAAATGTGGCGGGAGTGGGGTGGTGGGGGACTGCATCAAGAAGACTCTTGGAGGCAGGGCATTGAGTAAACCAGTCTGTCTGGAGCAAAGGACCCCTGAGTTAGAGATAGAGTTTCAAAGGAGAGATTTGTTGTTAGATTGTGGAAGGGCTTGAGGGTGGGTTTGGACTAAGAAGTTTGGACCTCACTTTATAGGTAATAGAGAACCATTTAGAGTTTCTGAGCTAGCAAATAATATGATAAAAGTGAAATTTTTTTAAAGATTATTTTGACATCTGTTTGCAGGATGGTTTGGAAAGAAATAGCTTAGAGATAGCCTAGGATGATGATTTACCATACTCTTCAAGCAAAATTTGAATTCAACATAAACAATGCACTATAGCTTTTGGCTATGAAAATAATCTATGAATTAAGGGATGACAACTCCATGTAGAATGGTTGGGAAGGGGTGATAGTAGGAATAGAAAAAGGAGAGATAAAAGTGAGCAACAACAAAAAGAAAGGTCAATAGGCTAGTCAATTGCTGAAATATGGAAAGTAAGAAAGAAGATAATTTGTCATAAATAATCTAAATTTGTCTGAAAGTCTTCTAAGTATAACATAAGCAGAAACTGTGAATAGAATCTTTTCTCCAAAATACCTTCTTAGAAATGATCATATGTGTCAAGTCACATAATCTCTCTGGGCTTGTTTTTCAAATCTAGAAAACAAGAGTGTGAGACTGGATGACTTGTGAGATCCTTTTCAAATTTAAATCAATGCCCTAAGACCTAGTAGGATAGAATTCCTATATAATTGGCTTTGAAGGCATTTTTTCCAATTGATATCTTAAAAAAATGAATGCCGTTTTAGAATATGGATAGAGAACTCATTCCATATCAAGACTAGTAAATGCTGCTTCTAACTCTATTCCTTAAGTCTATAATAATTCATCTCATGCCTGAATAAAGTAATTTATGTAACATTTAATAAGAATCATTAAATCCTGCAATACTGTTTGCGTCTTCTGTGTGGAACTTCATTTGAGTAAAGCCAACAACATAGATATTAGGAACAGAAGTTTTACATTATGGGTTATTAAAATAACTTTCCTACCTCCAATATGAAATTGCAAAAAAGAGACTAATCCCCTGTCAAGCCACAAACTGGCACATAATTAAATCAAGGAACCCTGCCTCCTCCTCAGTTCCCACTCACATCAGTCTCTTGTGTATTTGACAAATTTGTATGATATTATTTATGCTATTTTACTGAAAGTGGATATGAACAAGTATCTTTCAAAGTCACATGTCTCCCCAGAGGTAACAAGGGAAGAAACCTTCTGCTCTCTCATGAGCAGTCCCTATACAAAACTCCTCATGAACTCCACAACACATGATCAATAGCTTAGAGATAGCCTAGGATGATTTACCATACTCTTCAAGCAAAATTTGAATTCAACATAAACAATGCACTATAGCTTTTGGAAAGTTTTCTCAAACTTTCAAATCCTGGGCAGGCAGCAGACTATAGCGGATCCTATGGGATTCAGAACATCTCTGACACTAGCTATGTGACCAGAGGAAGTCATTTAACGTCTCTGAGCCTCAGTTTCCTTATTTGCAAAAAAGGGATAATCATTCCTGTAGTAACTTACCTCACAGGGTTATTGTGAGGCTCATGAGATAATGAATATAAAGTGCTTTTTTTTCCCTTCAAATTTTAAAGCAGCATGTTAACATCAGTTATTGTTATTTCTACCTCCAGAATACCTCACCTTGATTTAGGCATTGAGTTAGCAGTTATGTATCAGGTTATACCAATGGTATGGACCCAGATAGCTCTCATCAAATTGTTGTTACCTTGGCTAAGAGGGACATCCTTTGAGCATGAACACTTTTACAGCTGTTAAGATGCTGATGGGAACTTCATGTGTGTTGTCAGCACAAGTGCTGTCAGGAACAAACCAAATGTCAAATTGAGGTATGTAGAAGTCACCATAAATAAGTCTCTGAATGTTTACCATCTGGCAGAGTAGATTTATACTTTGACCAGAAGCTGGATTACCCTATGGGCATTATCTTTGGAACTGGCCCCCTTTTTACATTGAAGAGACAGTCTTTTCTAATTAGTACAGTTAAGGCCATCCCAGAAAAAAAAAAAGTAAAACAAACAAACTGACAACAACCTGCCTTTTCAAGGTGTGAATTAATGTTTCTCTACATTTTCTCTCTCCTTCTTAAGTTTCTTATGATTGTTTTAGTCCTACTCTCACCCCAGTTTTGGTACCATGTTTCTTATTCAAAGGTACAGTCATTGGCTAATCTGTACATTAGTCTTTGCCTAATCTGTACATATTGCAAAGTGCTTTTAAAAAGGCAGTCTTCTGATGAGCAGAGGGCCTTTAGCTTTGTATACTTTTCAGCTCAAACTCCTCTGACTGCACCTTATCTAGATTTGAATATGACCAGATGTTATATATAAGGAAGAACTGATGGGCCTTGAGGAATTTCACTTTTTTCCTGCAATATTGCTGCTGCTCTAAAATAATGCCATGTTCATAATAATAACAATAATAATAATAATAATAATTCCTGTTCAATGTATTTTAAAAACTAAGACAGTAGGATAGAATTTGTGCAACATTTTTTATTTTTATTTTTAAAACTCCAGTTCCAGTATAAAGCCAAAATGGAATAACTAGAATTCCAAAAGAGTTTAGCTTATGAACTTTAGTCTCATTTTGGTTATGTAATGTTATTAAGATTCGTCTAATATTCTATTAGAAATAACTACATGACCATTTACAAGAATATTTTCTCACCAAAGGAGATTAGAGAATATGAGCTGAGAACTACCTCTAAAAGAGCCAGACAAGCACTGTTACTTTTTTTTTCCTCTTTCTTTTTTTGTGAAGAAAAAAATAACTTGGTTGAAGGGCCAAAATAGAGGTGGATCTTGAAACATAATTTTATGGGTACCTTTATAAGGTCTAATGCCAGAATCACAAAGCACCAGCCATAAATCCTGTTATTCAACCTACCAAACAGCTCTTATTTCAGAATGGATTATATACAGTATTATTTATAGAATCTCTCACCTGCAAGGGGGTGAAGACAGTGTTAGGTTTCTCTTGCAAGTATAAGGGAGTCCAGTAAGACCAATAATTCATGAACACCACAGGTATAAATGAGAATTGATGTATGTTCGAGAGACAATTAAAGAGTTGCAAAAGAAAATTAAGAACTCTCATTCCTTGTAAGTTATTTTAATTAAAAAAAAAACACAACTCAGTACCTGTTTAGAGAAAGCAATTCTTTGAGGAAACCATATTATAAAATAGAAAATACCAAGTTTGTGAGGTTTTGCATTTATTCCATTCCATAGATACATACATATATATATATATATATATATATATATTTGCTTTGGGCAGCAAAAATGAAGATAACAAACTAAACAGCTGAAGCCCCGGCTGACCAGGTATTTGCAATGAGAAAATGATAATTAAGCCTCTCGCCTAAGAACCAAAGCCGGAAAATCTATTTCCATTTAATTAACACTCTAGATAGCCCGTTTAAAACCAATAAATGTAGTGACTTTAATGACCCATTACTGTGATGCTACTTTAGTTTTCAATGACTTGTAAAACTTTCACAAACAGATCTGCAAATGAATTACATCCATCTGCTCCTCTGCAGCTGCGAGGGAGGGCTCGGTTCAATCGTATTTTGCTACTTCCTCCTTTCCTGGTTCTCTTTGAATTCTAAAAATGTAGTTTTTATGCCAGTCTATCTACCCCCCCCACCCCCCCACCCCAGTCTGAAGCTCAGCCCGCGCTCCCTCAAAAGGAGCCCTCACACTTTACAGTCACCTTCAAATTACTTTAAAAACATTATGGTTTGTTCCGTGATGAGTCAGACAGAATCCCCACTGCATAAATCAGCCCAGAAAGCATCTCCATCCCTGCCAGGAGTTCTGTGGTGGAGTGTTACTAGAATCTTCATACACAATGTTGCAAGTACAACTTTAAAAGTGATCTGAGTCCTCCTTCTGCAAAGAGAGGATAAACGTTCGGTTGGCCATCCCTACACTTTTCTCTGCGGTGGTTAGCCCCCTTGGGGTCCTCGAAAGGGAACACTGAGTGGCTAAAGCACTGCTCCCAAACACATTTTCCACCCTACACCTTCCGAAGCATGGCATTAGGAGTGTTAGCGTTCTTAAGACAGCCACGCTTCCAGCTCCACTCTCTGTTATCTGTCAGCCATACAATAGCAGCATTGATAAGACCGTAGCAACTGGCTTGACAAGTGTGCTGCGCTAGCATTCCATTCAAAACTATGCTAGGGGGAAAAAGGCATCCGATGTCTTTTACTTTACCTGAACAAACTGCTTTTCTTGGAGCTGCTGGAAATGAATTCCTCGCCTTCTTCCAAAAGCTAGAGTTCTAGTGCTTGCAACTCACACTTGGAGAAGACCACACAGCTCCAGCAAGGCAGTCTTCCTTCTCTTAATCCCCACTCGAATGTGATGACACACACTAACCCCAACCATCTGTTGAAACACGTCCTCAAGCACTCAGCACAGTGGTGTGTCAAGACAGGCTGCCCAATCCAATTGCTGGGGCTGGGTGTCTCTTAAGGATTGGAGGCTGAGACTAGGACAGAAACTATAGGTCTGAGAACTCTCAGCAAAGTAACCTGAGATTTGGAGAGAGAAAGGAGGGCTATAAAAAGAGTAGAAGTGGGAGGTGCTAAAGAGAAGGTAGAGGGAGTGAATTATTCTAGTGACCAGTTGTGTTACTTTTCACAACTCCTTATATTCCCGAGGGACCACTGGGTCCCACAGTGGAATGCACAGAAGCAAGAGAAAACCCCTAACAATCTTTTATTGCTGGTCTATTTGGGGCAATCTCCTCAGTGAGGCACTTTTCTCTGAAGGAGATAAAAGATTCATCTGGACACACTGATAAAGCTAATGTAGGAGTCATTTGCATTGAAATGTGACATCTGTATTTTGAAATCCAAACTCCTACCCTCCTCTGATTAAATTGGGGCTGCCTCCAACATTCCTGGGAGAAAGGGGGTTGGCGTGGGGGGCCCAAGGGTGCTAAAAGTGCAAATCTCTTTTCCTACATACAGGTCTGTACTGTTAATCACAGGCTGTGCTATCCAAATAGTAAATGAACATCATTTTCATTTCTACACATGCAAAATAGTATCTTTTCCATCCTTGGAGATAAAGGCTGCTTTTTATCATTTGCTTCTTTCACAGACATCTCTTTGTAAAAAGCTTTTGCTCCAAGAGTGCTGGGCTCACTCTGTGATTGATTATTTTTATTGGCTTCCAGCTAATTGCACTTATAATGCCCATACAGTTCAAACAGCTCATTAACAATTTCTCTTTGAAATGTTTTCAATTTTTGATTATTTCGATGCCCCCCCCCTTCTTGCATTCATTTTTGTACCTCTGTGAGCTGTGAGTTTTAAGACCTAATTGCCTTGATAGCAGCCAGAGCCATATATGGCTCTACTTCTAGTACTTTAAAAAGAGATCTGCTAACAAGTTAATTGCAGAAAATCTCCCCTTTTCTGATTTCACAGACTTGCAAGGTTTTTGGTTACTACCACAGGGAAAACAGAGTGCAATTTTCATTGTTCTCAACCCCCTTGACTATGTTTGTAGCACTGAAGTTTTACATCTTGACACCTTTTGAATTCTAGGAAGTGGAAGTGGGAAGGCAGAGAATTGTTATAAACTTGCCTAAAGTGCTAAATGGGATGGGGGTGGGGTGGGGAGGAGGGATTTGTCAGTGTAGACATTGCTTTCATACAGTGAGCACCTACATGAAAAAGGGGGGTTGTTTTGTTGTCTAAAGACTGACTTGTTTATTTTTCGTAACATATATGCTGTTGCAATACATTTTAAAATGACTATTACTACTATATTCTGGAACCTAGAATGAGAAAGCTATAATTTGTGTACAGTTGGTTCCCATAGCTAAATCATAGTACTGGGGGGAGGGGGGAGGAAGAGAAAAGTTAGAGTCCTGATTACGTTTGTTCAAATTCTTCCCAGAAGTGATTATATGGTGTCTGTTTCAGACAATGTCTTGTGTTCACTAAAGCACTACTCCCTAATCTGCTAAATTCAGAAAAACAATCAAACCCAGCAATATTTTCCAACAATGGCAAGTGGCAAGATTGGGATAAAACTACTTTCCCTTGGACATTTTAAAATTTTAAGAGTGGCAATTATTGCTTCAAGGCTTTTTTTTTGTTGTTGTTGTTAATCCAACCAAACAGGTTTGAAAAGACCCTGGATAGTTCTAACTTTGCTAGTCTGAAAGACCCAGGAGACACTGGTAAGATGTTTCAGATCTTCAGTCTTGATGTGGAATCACAAAAATTGATTTCAAGGAACTGTGAAAGATGCAGAATCAACATGTTATTTCTCATAATTGTGTTACTAACAATTGACCAAGTGTGCTCTTTGCAGAAAGACTTGGGCAGAAGGCATCATAAGGCATTCTTTAAAATGTTTTTCTTTGAAAGTACTTCGGTGATGTTTTTAGATTCAAAATTCCATTTTAAATCTGAAGAACCTTAAGTTAGCTCACTAACTCCGCAGATTGTTTCCTATACTGAACTTTTTTCTTTCAGCTCTGAAGCGTTCGAGTAAGAGAAAGAAAGGCCAGACAAAAACCTGAAGCTGGTGCTGCAGGATCACTTCCCAGCCTCTTTCTTCAGCCTGGAGCCAGTTCTCTTTCTCCGTCGAAGTGTCAGTCTCAAAGTTAAGAATTTTCCATTACCTCCCCTCCTTTCTCCTGGCCATCTGCAAACAGTTTATTTTTTAAGAAAAAAAAAAGGTTGAAATGGATGCTGTGTTGAAAGAACTGCACCTAAAATCTAATGCCTCCTCCAAGATGACGCTCGCTAGTTTACAGTCTTGCGTGGTGTGGGGGTGGGCGGTGGGCAGTGGGGGTGGGGGTTCGGTGGGGAGGAGGGTGTCAGACTCTGTGTGTGTGTGTGTGTGTGTGTGTGTGTGTGTGTGTGTGTGTGTGTGTGTGTGAACTCCCAACAGAGCGGAAGGGTACAACATCATCAGAATTAAGTAAGGGCACTCCGAAAATGAAAGATTGATGGTGGGTAACGGGGATATTGAAAAATAGCAGCTTCTATTCAGTTCCCACAGTTAAAATGTCCCTTTGCTTATTAGCTCCAATTAGTTTCCATGGTAACCGACCAACCCCTTGTAAAACCCCCTACTCAGAGCTGCGCTCATCTTTGTCTAGACTGAACCCAGGGCCCTTCTCCCTTCGCAGATGGCAGTGTGGCTGAATCTCTAGCTCCATCTCTTGCTGTCCCCCTCCTAGCACCCCAGGGGCGCACGCACACGCGCACACACGCACACACGCACACGCTCACTTTATGGAGCACATAATGGGGGGGGGGAATCAGGGCAGCCTTGGGGTGGGATCCAGTCCCCAACCTAGGCTGCCCGCATCTGCTGCTACACTAATGTTTCCCCCTCTCGGTTATTGTTTCTCCCGGGCTCACTCCATTATCAGCTGTTTGCTGCTAGTAATTTCTTTTCAGAAGAGCCAATACAGTATAATAAAAAGCTCATTAAACAGGAACACCTATCAGCCTCCTCAGAAAGCCTGGGCCTGCTCCTTTTTGTTGCAGGACCATTAAAGTGAAAAAAGAAAAACCACTTGTTTGTCATGCTTGGAAAAAAGAGAACAAAGCCCCCATGAAGGGTTACCAAGCTAGGGGGGCTAACATGAAGATTTAATGCACTTAAGAAACTGTGGTTCTTTTCCCCCACCAAGGGCTGCCAGTTGGCCAGGAATCCCAACTTGAACACAGTAAACAAATGATCAGCCAGTCTGAGGAGAGCTTACCACACCAGACAGTGGGAGGGAAGTAACTGGAATCCACAGCATCAAGGCCGGGCCCTGTCACACAGCAGGGCTGGTGGGTGAGCCTGAGCCGATGGTCCCCAGTGCAGAATAGGCCAAAGTCAAGGGGGAGGGAGTGGAGACTTCAGTCAATGTTTAAAACTGTGAGAATGCAGCAAGCCATAGGCTCTCATAATTTGTGCTGACTTTACATCTTTGGACCCAGCTCAATTTCATTACAGTAATATTTTGAGGTAAACCATCCAATGCTTAGGAAGAATTGGAAAGGTGCCAGCAGCTTGGAAGCCAGAATGTCTTTTGTGCTGTGAGTGTTAAATATTAGCATGTTGTGGAGTAATGGAAGCTGCCTTCTCTCATAGATAGAAGGATGAGGTAGAAGGCAGGTGCTAGATTTGAAATCAGAGGACCTGGATTCAAATTCAGTTCTTCCAAGTACTGGATAAGTTTAGGCAATTCTCTTACCTCCCTGGGCCTCAGTTTCCTCATCTGTAAAATGAGGACTTGGGATTCCTAGAGAGAGAGGTGGTTGGTTTCCCCCTTCTTGGGGGTCTTCAGTCATAAGATGGAAGAGCACTCAACAGGTGTGTGATATTGGAGATACCTTTCAATGGGTGGATGGATATTAAGATGGATATTAAGAGTTCTTTCAATTCTCAAATTCTGGGATTTGGGGATAGGACTAGATGACCTTTAAAGTCACTACTAACTCTAAACCTACAATATTATGAACTTCTGAGTCAGCCACCTTCTGCACTTGTGACATGACTCAGAAAAATAAATTGAGAGTAAGCTCCAAACAAGGCCAATGAAAGAGATGAGTTGACCTCCAATGGTACATGGAAATAAAGAGGTAGGTATCTTACAATATAATCTGACCAACTGAGCTCCATCTGACAGGGTGTGGGAATCTGCAATACTCCACGTAAAGATTCATTTTTCTCCTTCAATGCTTGCATTCCTGGCAGCTGCACAACTGGTTGCCTTTGTATCTGTCTAAAGACAAATGATATCTATATTCCCATGGCACTGGAAACATGTGTAACAATCACCCCTATTGCCACAACATCATAAGACATCTGTAGGTATATAATAAATCTCACAAAGCAGAGCCCCCGAGACCTTCAATTCTTCTGTCCTACATAGCTTCAAAAAGTCCTTTCCCATTCTTTTTCCAAATAAGCTTTCTTTCCTCCCTGAACCAAGTATAAGCCCAAGGGGGAGGAGGAACAACCTTTCACTTATAGTAATGCATGATATTATCATGGTCCGTGGCACTGTCTCCAACCCTGGGGAAGATGGCACTGCATTGTTGTGAGTTGCTTGGATGCCAGTGGTAGCATCCTTCGCAGTTGTCATTTATTTTGTAGGGTTGAAATTCTCTTGAAAAAGTATCATGGAATATGGTGAAAAGACCTGCATGGCTACAGTCCCCAAAAAAGTCAAATGAACTTTATCCCAACTGCCCACAACCAAAAACAAGCACAAAAAAAAAATCAGGAGGATTATAGACTGACTGGCCTGGTACTAATCAGGCAAGGAGCCTTAATCAAAAACAACACCCTGTATTTCTCCTTATATCTATTCTGAATTAATGGGAACCTGTGTCTTCGAATAAATTCTCAGGGGACAAGCAAATGCTTCTGTTTTCCTGGAGGGCAGTGTGGAGTAGAGTAAGAAGTGGAAGGCGCTCAGTAAGAAGAGGAAGGCGCTGAGTAAGAAGAAAGTGGGGATTTAGACAATGTGCCTATAAACTCAGGTCAGTTCCAGCTGGGGATCCA